ACTATTTGAGTTTTAAGAAAGGTGCTATTTAAGAAAGGTTTTCTAATAATTAAAAAAAACCCATCCTAAGTAAAAATGCTTACGTGTTGTCTGATCATAGAGCTGTATCTACTAAGAATTATAGACAACTGTAGGAAAAAAATGTTAGCAATTTCTATAAGCAGTATTCTCCTGTTCTGGTTATCAAAAGAGCAACTCCATGCTAAGCATTTATAGACATTTAAAAACTTAGTTTTTACAGTAGAACAGATAATGGTGAAGAAATTAAGATGAAGGATGACAATCAGATGTTACTTTCAGAATAAAAACATTTAGAAAATAAACAGCATTAACTGTACCTCGTCTGCCTTTGCATTTGAAGTAGCACATAGCTCACACAGTTCTTTTATTGCATTTTTAATAGTTGTGCCGCCTTTAGCTTTTTACTTTGAATATACTTTTTCCTGAAAGCCTGCTCTTTGCTGTAAAATTGATTTTATAGTTAAGTCTGAGCTTATGGTTTACCTCAAACTATCTTTGACTTAATATCCTCTGAAGATATTTAATTGATTTATTTTATTGTTTGCCAATATCTGAGATTTTTTTTCATGATTATTTCATTCTTTTTGGGGGGTAAACCATCTGCCACAGAAATTGACACTACGGAGAGATTAATGTTGATAAGCCGTAGAGAATCTACTGGGTTGCTTTAAAATATTTTAAAATTACAATTAATGAGTTCATAGAGCATTGTAATTTCTAATAGAGTTCCTTAAAGCCCTCACAGAAGTTTCAAAGAATTTGCACAAGTGTGATACTGATTCATATCGGCTTTGCTGAATGGCCTTTGATTCTTGTACCCAGTGAAAGGTATGAAACTGAGAAGTAAACATTTCTTAATGTTATGGACAGGAACACATTGGGTTTCTGGTATTTTGAGTAGTGATACTAAAGGAAAATTCTAATTCGTTTTCAAGTTAGTATTTTTTTTTAATAGCTCACTGTGCTTAGTCCAGGGGGCAGTTGTTTTTCATCACACTTTGAACCTTTTATAGTAAATTTCTATAGAAACCTGTTCCCTTTACCTTCACCAGAAGGTACTTTAAATATATACCACATATAGTTGATTGTTACAAAGGAACATAAAATGGGTATTTTCCTGTCTTCTTTTGGTCATGTTTATTATAATCACTCAGCTTAGTATTCATACATTTACAGCTGAATAAACTCCAAGGATTGTAGATTTATAACCTGTTTATTGTGAAAAGATGTTTTGTTACAATACTTGTTTTAAAAATTGACAAACTCCAGGAAGTGCAGCATTGGCTGACACCTGCCCATAGCGGGTTTCCCAGCTACCTTTAAAGGATTCAGACAAATGTAAACTATGGCCTGTGGTGTGACACAAGAAGTAAATATTAAAAGAAAAACAACATAAATAAAAATCCATCAGTGAGGTTGGAGAAGGGAGTTGTTGAGAGGTTTTGTTTTTAAGTATAGGAGGAAGTTGTGGGGTTAAGTTGTGTTTCTGCTTTTTTTTTTTTTTTCTTTAATACAAATTCCTATGTTACCAAAAGCCCATGCTGTAGATTTTTTGTTTTGTGTGTTTCTAGTACTTTGAAGGATTGATAAATGAATTGGTTATTTGTATGTGGGGATGTTAAAAGTTGTGGCTGCTCTCTCTGTGGAAGGGAAAAATTCAAATGAAGTTAATGGACTTCTTTTCCTAGCTCAAAAGTCACTGTGATGTATATTTTTTTAATGAACTTTAGGAATAAAGCTGTTGTCACAGTTGTATAATTAGTTTCAAAATGCTGCTTCTCTTATCATTAGTCTAGTAACTGTTAAAACTGTTTTCTGCAAACTGCATTTTACAGAATTTAAACTCTGAAACTATCAACTTTTATAGTTAAACATTGTATTAAATAAACTATAACAGTTTGTTTTGTATTTTTAAAATTACTGTTATATTAGTCAACGTTTATTTTTATTAAAAGCTAAATAATGAAGATAAATCAACTAAAGTATACTTTTATTTTACCCTTGGGGATATAGAATTTGTATTAGGAAAAACTGAGCAAAGAGTTTAACAATACTGAACTTCTTTAGGAATTTAGTCAGCAGTGATGATTTCCAGAAGGTTTGGAGATAAATTCTAGTGTAAATGTTAAATCATGTTTCAGATTACAAAGTGTTTTTTGCCTCAGCAAACCTAAGGTTAGATTTGGAATTTGCATTACTGTCTACTGGAATGCTACCATTTGCTTTTTAGTTCCTCCAAATTTCTCAGCATTGGGAACACTGTATTATATATATCCTGTGCCTGCCAGTTTTAATATAACACTCAACATTGTAAAGCCATATAGATGTTAATTGACTCGTAAAACAAATTGTCTAGTTTTTGGTTTCTTGTTTGGTTTTATTTTTATTTAAATTAAATTTAGATATATTTAGGGAAAATGCACCAACTTGAAAGTTAGTCACTGAAAATATATATGGTTAGATAAAAATGTTCTGACCATTCAGTGGTTTGTATGTGTTAAGAGGTGATATTAAATTCTCAAATTCTGGTGTGTTTTTAAATGCTTTATTTAGCCAGGAGAATATGTAAAATGTGAGTGCTTCATATGGACTGTGTAAATTAAATGTGTATTAAAATACTTTTAGTATCAATTTGCTTTTTCTATTTCATTGCTTTTTAGGCTTCTTTCTTAAAATATATTTCCCAACCTAAGACTGTTACTTCCTCTTTAAAGTGCTGATTGATAATTGTTATACATTTCCCCCCTCAATAACAAAATATGTATCTTAGCTACATACTTTATTTAATTTTTAAAGGAATTCTTTTATTTTTAAAAGATTTTATTTATTTGAGAGAGCACGAGCAAGCTGGCAACGGTAGAAGGAGAAACAGACTTTCCACTGACCAGGGAGCCCAATGTGGGGCTCAATCCCAGGACCCTGGGATCATGACCTCTGAGTTGAACATAGATGCTTATCCGATTTAGCCACACATTTTATTTTATTTTATTTTATATTTTTTAAAGATTTTATTTATTTACTTGACAGAGACACAGTGAGAGAGGGAACACAAGCAGGGGGAGCGGGAGAGGGAGAAGCAGGTTTCCTGCCAAGTGGGGAGCCCAATGCAGGGCTCCATCCCAGGACACTGGGATCATGACCTGAGCCACCCAGGTGCCCCTTAGTCACACATTTTAGCTATGGATTACTTATATTGGCAGATTACAACAGTTGTGTTTCCACTGTTCCGATTGCCTTGCAAGTCATTCTTTTTCACTCCATTGTTTTGTGATTTTTAAAACTTTGCATAGCACTTTTTTCCCCCAAAGTTTTGTTTGTTTGACAGAGGGAGACACAGTGAGGGAGGGAGAAACAGGCTTCCCACGGAGCAGGGGGCCCAGTGCCTGGCTCCATCCTAGGAACCCGGGGATCGACCTGAGCCAAAGGCAGACACTTAACAACTAAGCCACTTGGGCGCCCCAGCCCTTTTGTTTTTAATGTGCTTAACTCTGGTAGAAAGACCAGCCCAAGTGCAGGTGGCTCGGGGTTAGGCCTCTGCCCTCAGCTAATGTCATGGTTTCAGAGTCCTGGAATCGAGCCCTGCGTCAGGCTCTGCTCAGCAGGGAGCCTTGCTTCTCTGCCTACTTGTGATCTCTCTGTGTCAAATAAAATATTTTTTTAAAAAAAGTAATAAAATGAAACTTTACATAAGGGAAGAAAACTAGTAATGTTTTATGTTCTTCACTCAGATTAGGTTGGTTATAAAACATGAGATGAGCCATTTTGTAGAAACATGTTTCCTGTTTTGTAATGTGAAGCTAGCTTTATCCAAAACTAGAAATGTAGGGGCGCCTGGGTGGCTCAGTGGGTTAAAGCCTCTGCCTTCGGCTCAGGTCATGATCCCAGGGTCCTGGGATCGAGCCCCGCATCGGGCTCTCTGCTCGGCGGGGAGCCTGCTTCCTCCAATCTCTCTGCCTACTTGTGATTTCTGTCTGTCAAAAACAAAACAAAACAAAACCTAGAAATGTATAGTGTAGTACTTTCTATAACAATTTAAAGAAAAAGATACATGGCAGAGGCTCCCTGAGTTTATTAGTTCATTGAGCCTTTGCATCTGGGTAATTTTTAATATGGTGGCAACCGTAGGCCATAAGAACTACCAAACAATTTTGTAGCCCTGCGAAAAAGGAAAATAACCTGTATTTCACTCTTAAACACATTCACCAGTGGAATGTGTGAAACTTAGTTATTGTACAACTCAAACCTTTGAGTCAGATTGATGCACGGTCACCTGTATCAAATTGCTCATATAACTACTTGTAGAAAAATTACTTCAAGTAACTCAAAAACAGTAATTTGCACATGTCTAGTGAGATACACTCTGCAAAACAAGCCACAAGTCATAAACTCTGTAATCCTGTTGTTAGTAATAATATTGGTAGTGTTTGAAACTAAAAAGTACTGAAGGATAAATAAATTTCGGCTGAAGAGAATAATGCCTCCAATGGAATATTATTTAGCTATGAAAAGGACCAAAGTATTGATAATGGTAAAACTTGGATGAAACCTGAAAAAAATGCCAGACACTAAAGGCCACAGTATGACTCCATATAATTACATGAAATATCCAAAATAGGCAAATCCATAGAAACAGTGGTTGCCAGAGGCTGGAGAGAAGGGAAGTGGGAGGTGACTGTTTAGGTACAGGGTTTCCCTTTGGAGGAATGAAACATTCTGGAACTAGGTATGGTAATGGTTGTACAATATTATAGTTCTACTTAGTGCTACTGAATACATATTTTTAAAGGCTAAAATTACACTGTTGCATATGCATTATCAAAGGGATTTGTTAAACTTTGGTAGTGATGGATATTAAACAGACATAATTGCACTTCGATGAAGAGCAGTTTTATTAATAAATTACAATCATAAAATTCACTTATTTGTAGCTCATAATATTAGCTACAACTTAGTCTTCTCAATCAAAAATAAACTTTTTTCTACCGTGTAAAACCTAGCCTTCCCTTAGACTTTTGAAAATTACTATATTTTGATCCCTGAGAGTTATAAAAAGGGAGCTGGACTCCAGTGACATCATTTGCCTGATAACTGGGTCTTAATCCACCTCTGTCCACAAAAACTGGTCCACGGCCACCTCCATGTCCTTCCCGTACAGCTTTTACAAGAGGATAGATATACTTATTTGTTGATTCAGACTCAAGTTCAATTACTTCTCTGGCATAATCCTGAAATTCCTTTTCCTTTTCAGCCACAAGAGCTTCAGTAAGTCTGTAATACTCTAATTCTTCTTGTTTTTCTTGCTTTGCATTAAATTTATTTTGGGCCTATATGGGAAAGAAAAAAAAAGCAATTTCGTATTGGTAGAGATCAATTTTCTAAGTATCCATAGCATTTAAAGTTGTAGATAGAATTTTCTAAACTCACTGATGGGTAACAATTTCTGACTTAAAAACTACATGTGACCCTTGAACAACATGGGGGTTAGGGACACCAACTCCTGGTACAGTAAAGAATTCATGTATAACTTTTGACTCCAAAAGACTTCTAAAAGTTTATGATTGACCAGAAGCCTTACTGATAACATAAAGTTGACACATTTTGTATGCACATATGTATAATATGCTGCGTTCTCAAAATAATACCTTTTTCTTAATTTGGGGGGTTCATATTTCTAGGCTATGTGATTCATCTCCAAGTTTTTTCAAATGGTAACAAATCTCAAAAAAATTTTCCAATGTATGTGTTGAAAAAAATCCATGTACAAGCAGACCCCACAGTCAAACCTGTATTGTTCAAGGGGCACCCATACATACTATAATTTCAGAAACTCCCGTGTTTCTCACAGTAGTATGCTCCAAGCAGTGGCTCAATGAAATAGCCTTCTGCAATAACATATCTTCAAACAATATAACAAAGTAGTTAAAAGCATGAATTTTAGGTAAAAAATAACTGAGTTTAGAATCCTGTTTCTAAAATGAAACAAGATGGGATCAGGAGGGAGACAAACTCTAAGAGACCCTTAATCTCACAAAACAAACTGAGGGTTGCTGGGGGGAGGGGGAGAGAGAGAGGGTGGTTGGGTTATGGACATTGGGGAGGGTATGTGCTATGGTGAGTGCTGTGAAGTGTGTAAGCCTGATGATTCACAGACCTGTACCCCTGGGGCTAATAATACATTATATGTTTAAAAAAGAATCCTGTTTCTACCATTTATAAAAATGTGTACTTTGGCAGGTATAGAAGACCTACCAATCACTGCCTCCAACCTATCCACTATCCTTTTTTTTCTTAATCTCTACACAATGTGGGGCTCAAACACACCATCTCCTGAGATGAAGAGTTGCATGTTCTTCCAACTGAGCCAGACAGGTGCCCTTCCCGCCATCTGCTATTCTGGAGGAACTCACTGAAATCCACCATTCTGAGTCAGTCCAATATACCATGTATATTGGTTAAATCAGCCAAATAAGGTTAGTGTGTGTGTGTGTGTGTGTGTGTGTGTGTGTGTGTGTGTGTGTGTGTGTGTGT